TAAAAATGAAACACACCTATAACAGTGATTCTGAAAGGCTAAAAATAAATGAGAAAACATACACTAAATAAATGTGAACAAAAAGCAAGAACTTTGATCTTGAGACAGAATTCAGACTGAGAGTCCTGAATGAAGTAAAGATGTAAAAATCTGGATAGCTATGCACAAAACACAACGGCACTTTCATAAAGCAGAAATTATAGGAACTAAAGCAGCAGCAGAAATGTTACTAGCAGGAGACTGAAACACGCTACTTTCAGTCCAAGACTTATTGAAGGGTTGGAAAATAAGAATACAGAAAACCTACACAGAATAATCTATTACCTACATTTCCCATATATATATCTCCAGAACTGTACCCCCCAAATAGCAAAACACCTTTTCAGATACCTATCATGAAAACCGAACATCTATTAGAGCAAAAGGAAGCCTCGATAAGCGGTTTTGAAGATATGAAATTTTACGATCATAGAATTTTCATAACTGTAAAGTTTCACTCAGTGGTTTAAATGAGATAAATGATGTAGAAGCAGTTTGAAAACTAAAAAGCACCAAGAAATGTTATTGAGACTGAAAATACCATTGTTGTTGTTATTGACTACTTGGTGGTCATTCTCTTGCTCCCTGATTCTCCGATATATTCTAGAATTACCGTTTCTTCAGTGTTTACTGTGTGCCAGGCACTATGTTGTTTTACATGTAGCCCTTTATTAAGATACTCACTGTTTTATGAAAGCAAAACTGCTTCTCTCACATTAGGTGACATGTCAGGTCCATTTTGAGTAAGGGGTCAGCGAAGACATGGGAATCAAAGCACACCAAGGACCCACTTCAAAGTCAGGTCTAGGTTTGAAACGTCGCTCTAGCACTCAGCAGCTGTGTGACCTTTGCCAAGTTAAACAGCCTTTCTGAATCTGTTTTCTCACATGTAAACACAGTTAATATGTGTAGTAATATCATACTTACACCAAAAACTATTAATTGTAGCAAGCAGCATTTGTAAAGGGTCTAGCATGGTACCTCATCCACAGTAGAGATTTAATAAATGTCAGTCGGAGGTTGAGAGAAGACCAGACTTCACCAGATAACCTTATGATAGGGGTTTTCCCCCTATTAAAAAATCATCTTTAAATATAAACATCTTCCAAAGCATTTGAAATTATTTTCTTCAGTGTCATGGGGTAATAGTAAAATAACTTATGGTAGATCCATATATGGAATACTAACTTGCAACAAAAGAATAAATTGTATATGGAGAGATGGCCTTAATTGGTCTGGGGTTAAGAAAAGAAAGAAGAAAACTTCAGACTACAAACAAAATAGTTTCTTTCCTTCCTTTTAAAAAACTGACTACTGGGAGGTGTCTGTGGCTCAAAGGAGTAGCGTGCCAGCCCCATATACTGAAGGTGGTGGGTTCAAAACCAGCTTGGCCAAAAACTGCAAAACACACACACACACACACACACACACACACACACACACACAAACTGAATACCAGAAGCCAAGCCTGGAGACTGCTTTGAGACCAGGAGTTCAAGACCAACCTGGGCAACATAGCGAGACTCCACCTCTACAAGATATTTTTAGAAAATGAGCTGGTCATGGTGGTAAGCATCTGTAGTCCTAACTACTGAGACGGCTGAAGCAGGAGGAACAGTTGTCTGTAAAATAAAAAAATTATACCTGCACAAAGTCTGGAAGGATACACACCTAATCATAAAGGTAACAGGGTCTTGCTTTGTCACACAGGCTGGAGTGCAGTGGTGGTGTTTAGCTCACTGCAGCCTCAAACGCCTGGGCTCAGATGATCCTCCCACCTTGGCTTCCTAAAGTGCTGGGATTACAGGCATGAGCCACCTTGCTCAGCATCTGAGGTTTAAAAAAAATTTTTTTTTATATTCCAGTTTCTTTTGTAAACCCCCCATCCACCCACATACATACACACAAAAAGGGAAAAAAGGTTCTCATTGTCTTTGGCCTGAATTTTTCATGGGATTTCAAAAGCTGTTGAACAGAAGTGGTTAAGTCTTCTGGTAAGTGTGAGAATTTCCATCTCCAGCTTTTCTTTTTGAAAGAGAGAGGAGTTGCAGGAGAGAGAGAATGAATTGCTCCAGCATTACTCATTACTCAGCATATCCAAACAGGTAGTCTCATTCTTGTCCCTGCCACCACTGCAGCCTGACACAGAGAGTAATAGAAACTCTTTGATAAATGTCAACTGAAATAGAGCAATCAGCTGAAAGCCATTTGCTGAGCTGTCTGACTGCCCTGGGCTTGAGGTTTTCCTTTATTCATTTATCATGAGATACAGCTTTGGCCAACAAACACACAGGAGAAAAATTGTTGACATGTGGAAACCAAGTACAGAAAATCTTTCATTTTCCCCCGTCTGTTCACCAAATAAGTTTTTGTTTATTTAAAGACTACAGAGGATTTGGCTGTTAAGAACCAAATGCCTTTGGAGTGGAGTTACAACATAATTTATCATTTCCTCTGTTTATTAAAAAATCCTGAATCTTTGAGAAGCACATTTGCAGTGAGTGGGGGATTTCGGTCACTCTTGAAAGATTGTTGCCAAGCCCCTCATGTGGCTTACCCCCAAAGGAGGCCCCCTAATTGCTATTTCTATACCTGTTCTCCTAGCTGACTTCAAATCTTGTTATGGCCACTAAGGGCTGGTGAATGAGGTTTGAAGGTAAGCAGGACAGAAGATTGTGTTAGTTTCTTTCATCTTTGACCTAATTTTGACCTTGAATCCTCACTAGCTATTTCACAGCAAATTCTGTCAGTATATGCAGAGAGAGGAGAACAACTCTATTACCTCTAGCACAAGAGGTGGAGGAGTTAAACAGCAAAGAGACGTTGGATGCTACTTCAGAAGAACTGAGCCAGGCCCTGCTGCCACCAAAGTGGGCTCCATTTTGAAGGCAGACACCTAGCAGAACTTTCTACCTTTCCACCCAAGGCATTATAGATAGCAATTTAGTTCAGTGCACTATGTACCCCTCAAATACAGGCGTTATATGTCTTACCCATTTTTGTGTTCCCAGCACACAGTACAGTACCTGCCAAACAGTCAGTGCTCACTACATGCTAACAGAGGCAGCAGGATGTAGTAGTTCCTTCTGGGCTGCTACATACATGGAAGCACAGGGAAGGTGGAGAACCCAGAGAAGGCATGGGAGCTCTGTGCTCCCTCCTCAGACCTTGCCCCACACGCCTCTTCATCTGTCTGTTCATCTGTACCCTTTGTTTGTTTTTTTGTTTATTTTTTTGAGACAGTGTCTCACTCTTTTGCCCTGGGTAGAGAGTGTTGTAGCATCATAGCTCACAGCAATCTCCAACTCTTGGGCTCAAGAGATCCTATTTCCTTGCTTTTTCCATTTTTAATAGAGATGGGGTCTTGCTCTTGCTCAGGCAGGTCTCAAACTTGTGAGCTCAAGCAATCTACCCACCTCGGCCTCCCAGAGCACTAGGATTACATGCATGAACCACCATGCCCAGTTCCATCTGTACCCTTTATAATGAACCAGTAGAAGTGTTTCTCTGAGTTTTGTGAGCTCTCCAAGCTCAAACCCAAGGAAGGGCCAAGAACCCTGGTTTTTAGCTGGTTGGTCAGAAGTATGGGTGGCCCAGACTCATGATTGGCATTGAAAGTGGAAGCAGTTTGAGGGCTAAGGATATGACACTATTTTCCAGACAGATAGTATCGGAACGAATTTAATTATAGGTTACCTAGTGGTGTCCACTGGAAAATTGCTTGGCATTTCATGTTGAGTGTGATGGCACGTAAAAAGTTTGGGTTTTTTCTTTTTACACTAGAGGGCAGAGCGTAGGCTTTAGAATCAGGCCCCAGTTTGAATCCTAGCTATGCCACTTGCTAGCTGTGAAAGCTTGGGCAAGAAACTTCTCCTCTCTGTAAATGACCCTGATCATGAAAAATAAAAACCCTCTACCACTTATCATCTTTGTTATTGTAGGTACGTTGCCTAATACTATCAAGTCCTAGTTTTCATATTTGTAAAACGGAGATAAGACCCACCTCTCAAGTTTACTGTAAAGATGACAAATAAGGCCTAGAATTATATTTAACTCGTGATGTCTATTATGGATGAATGAATGAATGAGTGAACAAACACAAAATAATTGGAGGGAAAAAAAAACCTAATTTAACCCAGTACCCAAAGATGAGTCATGACAAGCCACTTACATGTCAAGTAGTAAACGGTATCTCATTACCAGGTAATTGTTGAGCACGAGGACAAGGACAAGTGTGGAAAATCATAGGAAGATGGCATTACGACCAAAAAGAAAAGAAAAGCCAGAATTTGTTGGGTGGCTACTATGTGAAATGTACTCACAGCACAAACATATGAATGCCTACTATGCTCTAGGCATTATGCCACGTTCTGAGGAGATACACACTAATTAGCAAAAAGAATAATTAGGGTTCAGATACGAGCAGTAGACAATGCTATGAAAGCCAGTATCAGGGGTCCCAGGTGAGATGGGAAAGGAAGACTTCCCAGAGGATGTGATATCCAAGTCAAGACCTGGAGGTGACTAGGTGAGGGTGGAAGAGTTGGCCAGGCAGAGAAATGTGAACATGTGAACATGACCCAGAGGCAAAAGGACTGCTCCGGTTGCTTCATATGCAGGTCCTCAGAGATCATCAACTCCAACCAGCACTGTCCTTTCTTTAGTGGTTGGTATTCCTTTCAATTTATTTAGATTTTAATGTTTGGTGAAAATGGGCCTCTAGCAAAGGTGTCCAGTCACAGGTGAAGGCCCATGTCAGTTCAAGCACAGTTCAAAACTGTGGATAGGGCCTAAATAAAAAGAGGCTCCTGAGATGAGGAGCAGACAGCACTAGGCTTGCCAACGGTCCTAGGCCCTTGGCAACATCACAATCAAGGCCAACACCCAAGTAAAGACTTTTCCAGGGTGGTGCCTATGGCTTAAGGAGTAGGGCACCAGCCCCATACACCAGGGGTGACAGGTTCAAGCCGGGCCCCAGCCAAAACTGCAAAAAAATAAAAAAATAAAAGACTCTTCTCCAGTAGCAGATAATTCTATGAGATCATCCAGACTGAGGGCCCAGAGCAGAATGGGTGAGTAGGGGGTAGGAGGAAGAGAACGAACAAGTCTGGGTGTTCTGCTGGAAGGCCGGGCTTCACGAGGATTGATCACGTGATGCCAGCCTTACGTGTGGATGGGGGCTGAGGATGCCCATCTGCTACCCACTCCATGCTCTAGAATGTTGCTGGTCCCTGGTAGGTCTCTCAGCCAAGGAGTTCTTTGGTCTTCACTGCCAGATGCTTGTCCAGCTCTACAACTGTGTCATCGGCCATTTGGCTGATCTGTAAGAATACAAAATGAAACAGCCTGATAAATGGAGCTGGAAAAGGGTAGGGGGGCAAATATTCCAGAAATATGGAGAGGTTATCTGAGAAATAATAATAGTGACAAAAGTTCACATTAACTGAGTCCCAGCCAGGCTGGGACTTCTTATATATATAAGAACTTTATATACATTCTTATTTTGTTTGTTTGTTTGTTTGACATAGAGTTTCACTATGTCGCCCTCACTAGAGTGCTGTGGCATCACAGCTCACAGCAACCTCAAACTCTTAGGCTTAAGTGATTCTCTTGCCTCAGCCTCCCGAGTAGCTGGGATTACAGGCACCCACCACAACGCCCAGCTATTTTTTTCTTGCAGTTTTTTAGCTGGCCCAGGCAGGGTTCGAACTTACTACCCTCAGTGTATGTGGCTGGCACTATAACCACTGTGCTACGGGCACTGAACCTATATATACAATCTTTTCCTAATAGCAGCCCCATGAGATAGATACCATTATCCCTATTTTGCAGATAAGAAAACTGAGAGAGTTATATCACTTATTCAAGTTCTAAGTTAGAAAGTAGCAATGACAAAATTCAATCCATGGTAGTGTGATTCCACAACCCAAAATTCTTATCTATTATCAATACAGAGAAGCCAGCCTTATCTGTCCTTTAATGTGCCTCTAGGACTTCCTATACCTCAGACACCTTGCTATATGACGCTCTCATATAAATTCATAAGAAGAATATTAGTTCCCCATTGCCAAGCAGGAAAAAAGATGAAATACATCTAGTTAAAAAATGTGAAAAATTAGATGGACATTGAATAAATGTAAATTAAAATAAGATACAATTCAGCTATCATAGTTAGCAAATTTTAATGCTGTGGTTTTTCATAGTAATATTCAATGGTGTAAACTATGGTAAAATGGATAAGCTCATATTTCACTGAAAAACTTCAAACTGATACAAATATTCATACCATTTCACCCCAAAATTTCTCAAGTAGGAAATTATCACATAAACAAGATCTGAAAAATTTTCTTAAGTACTACAGATATTTACCTCAGCTTTATTTTTAATGATGAAATATCAGAAAATGTAAAGTTATTTAATGGGGAAATAGTTGAATACATATAGTCATTAAAAACAGTTAAGTATTTCTTATGTATAGGATATAAATACAAATAACATTTTAGTATATATTTCTGAAATGTTTGAACATTTTATAACCAGCATAGATTGCTTTTATAATCAGAAAATAATCCTTTTTCAATAGTGATTCAAAGTATTATTTATAATATAGAAACATGCTGATATTACTTAGGGAATTTATAATATAGAAACATGCTGATATTACTTGACTTAGGGAAACAGCAGGATACAAAATTACATATAGATGTAGGAGCCATGACCTCTGAAATACGGGCACGTAAACAAAAAACAGCAAATTTTTTAAAACTGGAAGGAAACTCACTGATATATTAAGTGGTTACCTTTTAGTAATGAGATGATAAGAAATGTATTATTCACATCTATACCTATTACATCCAGCTTAGGACTTAGAACACAACAAGTTCTCAGGAAATATTTACCAAGGGAATAATTAAAGTTTTCTGTATGTTCCTAGATTTTTCAAATTCTTTACAACTAACATGTACTCTCTTCAAGAATGAAAAACGAAGCAAAACAATTTAATAGGTACTGCAGCCTTCCTCCTGTGTCTAAATGGGACTGAAGGCAGGAAGCGTTGAAGGCAGCAGTGTGAGGCCCACAAACTGCGTGCTCAGCAAGCAGCACAGTGGCTGCTTGACATCTGTATTTGCAGACCACAGGCCTTGGCTAGGAATTAGAAACAAAATACATTTAGGGTAAAAACTAAAAAGGACTTGGAGCAATTGGTGCCAGGCAGAGGTGCAGCCAGACTCTCACCATGGCAACAACTGTGCACTTTTCAGCTGGAAAAGCAAAGCTCCTGGGGCTGCCAGATACTCTGGAAAGGTGGCTGGACTCAGAATGGCAGCTTGGCTACAAACCTTTGAGATGCTTCTGCCCCCTGTAGCTAACTCGCATGGCATGTGGTATGGTGCCTAGCAGTGCTCCAGCATGTGCAGGCTGGCTGCCTGCCTGGGACAGCCAGGAATGAGGGCTACATGCCTCCTCTGGAAAAATAGCTTTGATGCTAGTTTGGGGACTAGTATCAGATAGGAAAAGGGAAAATACCTAGGGTAACAATTTGATAATATAGGATTTGGGTTAAATTCTCAGTGAGGTGAATACATGCAAGCCATTTTCTCACTTTGAGTCTCAGTTTACTCATCTATTAAATGAGGATACTAGTGCCTTCCTCAGAGAGCTGTTAAAAGCACACTTTAAACTGGTTACTTGTTATACAAATACCAGTTGTGTTACTGTGAGTTTTACTATCACTTCCTGACTTCTTTTCCAATTAATCAATGAAAATATTTAATATTAACTTTGTATCATATTATAGGCACAAAGTACCCTTGGGGACAGTCTTGCTTGCAAGTTTATCTTTTCCATTATTATCAGACATCAAAATAATGATGAACACCACCACCTCTACCAATGGCTTCTACTTACTACTTACTATATGCCAGACACTAAACTAAAATTTTACATGCACTGGTTTTTGTTGTTTTTTTTGTTTGTTTGTTTGGTTTTTTTTTTTTTTTTGCGGTTTTTGGCCTACCATCCGGCATATGGGGCCAGCACCCCACTCCTTGAGCCACAGGCACCACCCACATGCACTGTTTGGTGCACATAATCCTCACAACACACAAATACAATTATATTATCTCCCTTTAACATATTATGAATATTTTTTTTTTTTTGAGACAGAGCCTCAAGCTATCCCCCTGGGTAGAGTGCCATGGCATCACAGCTCACAGCAACCTCCAACTGCTGGGCTCAAGCGAGTCTCCTGCCCCAGCCTCCCAAGTAGCTGGGACTACAGGGGCCCACCACAATGCCCGGCCATTTTTTTTGGTTGCAGCCATCATTGTTGTTTGGCAGGCCTGGGCTGGGGATTCGAACCCGCAACCTTAGGTATGTGGCTGGCGCCTTAGCTACTTGAGCCACAGGCGCTGAGCCAACATATTATGAATATTAATCCCACCTGATTAATGAACATTAATTTTACCTGTTTTTCCCTTTGTAACTTCATTTAAATCCAACCACTTCACACAACCTCTATAAAGCAGGTAGGTCAGGTAGCATCCCCATTTTACAAAGGAGTAAACCAAGGCACAGGAAGTCAACTGATCTGCCTGAGACTGTATTGCTGAGCCAAGAACTTAATGCCCTGAGGGCCAGTGTGATGCTATTTCCTTTGGAGGAAGGAAACAACACCTGGCCTAGTCTTTCCTCAGTCAAGGCATGCTGTGTTATGATCACTAAAGTCACAAGACTGAAGAGAGGAGCAGGATGAATAAATAGAGTGAATAATTACTGAGGACCAGCAACCATATTTGCCATTTTTAAGTATGCTGCATTGTTTGGTCTTTATACCAACCCTGTGAGCAAGAACTACTGCTCCCACTTTACAGATGGTGAAACAGAGGCTCCATCCATAAGAGGAGAAATTATTCACTAATTTTAACAGCTAATACACAAAAGAGCTAGGATTTTAATCTAGGACTGTCTGACTCCAAAGCAAGAACCTTTTACATTACAATATGCTGCCTCATAAAGATTATAACATCATCATCGTCACCATCATCACATTGCCATTACAAGTTCAGGAAAATGAAAGGCAGGGACAGAGAAGGGCAGGAGCACAGACTATGTCTGCATGTAAGTCATCACTCCTGAGGCCTGGCTTGGAACACCCACTGCCTCACCCAGGAGCCCTCCCCTTCTTCAGCTCCACTAGCACCCAGCTCTGCTCACTTCAGAGCAGCTCTGTTTCTCAGAGAAAGGCAGCAGTGAAAGGATCTTGGCCAGAGTTACTGATGGTTTCTGCCAAGTGCTTTAATGTTCAGCCGGACCATTTATAGCAAACTAAAGCGAAGGTGAAACAGCAGGCTGGCAGATGTCAGAGTCCTAAGTGGGAAGATGATGGTCTTTCTTGAGCAAAGCTGGCCTGGGCTGGGGATTAGGAAGTGGTGCAGTGTTGAGGCAGTTTCAGGGTCAAACATGCCTACAGGGATAAGACCTACAACTGAATCATTTCATTCTTATATATCAAAGATGAAAGAAATATTTTTAAAATAAAGTCTTTAAAAATCTGACCTCACCTTCAAAAAGTTTTGGAAAATTAGAAATAAAAAAAGAAGGCTCGGCACCTGTAGCACAGTGATTACGGCACCGGTCACATGTACCAAGGCTGGGGGGTTCAAACATTGCCCAGGCCAGCTAAACAACAATGCAACTGCAACAAAAAAAATAGCCACATGTTGTGGTGAGGGCCTGTAGTCCCAACTACTTGGGAGGCAGAGGCAAGAGAATCACTTAAGCCCAAGAGTTGGAGGTTGCTGTGAGCTGTGATGCCACAGTACTCTACATAGGGCAACACAGTGAGACAAGAAAAGAAAGAAAAGAAAGAAAAGAAAGAAAAGAAAGAAAAGAAAGAAAGAAAGAGAGAGAGAAAGAAAGAAAGAGAGAGAAAGTAAGTCTCACAAAGAGAAAATCGACATTGTTCATAATCCCATCACCTAAAATAATCACTTTAAACTTTTGATTAGATAAGCTACCAACCCTGTATAATGTAACTTTTCCTTATAAAAATGAAATAATACTGTTATATACCTTTTTAAAAAAATTACAAAAAAGTACCATGTCTATAAAATATCTTTATAACTGTCTTTCTATATAGATCCCAAAGAATGTAAAACAATTTATTTTCCCACTGTCAGAAATGTTGACAGCTTCTGTTTTTCTACTATTAAACACTCTTATAATACATCAACAAACGTCCCTATAGATAAAATTCTTGACATTTTAGTTTGGATAAGTTCTTAAGTCACTGAATCAGAAACGTATACATTTTGATGTATGCTGCCATTTTATACTCCAAAAAAACAGTATAAATTTATACAAAGAACTTAATTTTTCTATAGAATGTGGAAGTAAAAGCAATACTTTCAAGATAAGCAATATTTTAAGCTCACATTTAAAATTATAGTTTAGTTTCAAGTGTTAGGGGTTAGAAAAGGCAAACTTCAAAAAAAAATACATTCTAAAAATACTGCAAGTGATTTAGGCAGTATATATCAAGAACATTAAAAATATGCATTCCCTTTGTGTAGTAATTCTACACGTGGGACTTCTATCCTACAGAAATCGTCTCAACAAAGAATTATATGTAAAGATATTCACTGCAACCTTACTTATCATAACAAAAAAGCTTAAACAAACTAAATGTCCACAAAGAGGGCTTATGAAAGTGAGTCAAGGGTATAACCACAAGATGAACTGCTTAGCAACCATTAGAAATGGTTGTTTACAGAGTTTTATAAGACATGAGAAAATGCTAATGCCTTTAATGCCAGACCAAAAATTAAAAGTTGAATTCAAAATTGTATATATATATGTCCTCAATCATATTAAAACTAAACAGTTAAAAGAAAGAAGAAATAGTCTAAGATGTTAAGAACAGTTGCCTCTGTGATGTGGGATTATCAGATGAATTTTTCCCCATTTTTTAAACAGTCTTTTGTACTCTACATTTTCTACAATGGGCATACATTACTTTGATAATGAAGAACAAAATAAACAAATTTTTAAAAACTGTGGAGTAAAGCAACAATAAGCTGCAGCCTTATTTATATTTGGGGGAGGGGAAGCAAAAACACACACTCAGAACTTCAGTTTGGTGCTTTCTGACAGGAAAAAAGAATAAATGAGAAGCATATACAAGACTATCTCCTGAAGATGTGCCTGCTCAAACTTTTAACCAGAAGACAATAGACAAAGTTATTAACAATAATGGTTAGAATCAATATTCAAATGGTATTATCTTTAATGAATATTTTTGTACTGTAAACATATCTGTGTATTATGTAATGTAAACAGTATGCTCTTTTTTCTTGCAATATTATATACATGCTTTTAAAGGGATAAACTGAAAGTCTGTACTAAAATGTTAATAGTCATCTCTAAGAGATGAGATGTCAATGATTTCATTCCTTTCTTAAAATTACAATAAACATATATTAGTTTAGTGTCAGAAAAACTAATGATCTATTTTAACTTTGAAAAATTAGTAATAATCAACAGTATGAAGCACTGTAGAAAAAAATCTAATCTGAAGAGGATGGTGAAAACCAGTGCTAATGAGTGAAGACTTCCAGCAAGGACTTTGTCAAGAGTGTTAGTTATCTGATCATTCTTCCTTTTTTAAGAAGCAGTGGGCTCTGGTCCCTGTGGCAGATGCCCTGACATGCTGAGTGAGGAGTGCCTGGCAGGCCCCAGAGGTCCACAGCTTACCACCAGGAAACAATGAAAGGCAAACTCAACTGTAGAGAGGAAATCCCCTAGGAGACAGATAAGGAGCAGGCCTAGCTGGAGCCAGGGCCTGGACTAGGGTCAGGCCTGATCAGTGCTCAGAAAAGCCAGCCTACTCTACAAACTTCCTCTTTAGCTGATGGAGGCAAAGAAGAAAGCAGAAAGATGGCAAGAGGGGAAATTTAAGGGTGTAGGGGTCAGGTACAGTAATGGTGCTTTCTAGCATCCTAGGGAAACCCTTCAAGGCAGAAATTATCAAACCCTTTTCACAAAATGGTAAGACTCTAAATAGTCAAGTAACTTCCCCAAGGTCACAGGACATCAAGTATAGAACGATCTTTTTCTAACTCTGGTATCATTACAGGGGTGCATTATAAGGTTTCTAGGTCATTACCTTCCGTGTGTGCATTTGCAGAATTACCCAGGGAGTTTTTTAAAAATAAACATTCCTAGAAGACCTACTGAATATGTAGGAGCAGGACTCAAGAATCCACCTAAAATTCTCCCCCACATGATTACTGTGGCTGGCCTACAACTAGCATTATAACTGTTTGTCCAGAAGAGGGGGAGCAGCTAGTCAATTTACAGCTCCTCTAGGGGTTCCCTAGTGACTCTTCTTGCCTGTTGCTTTCCCCTCTTCACTCCCCATCCTGCCTGTACTCCTGTTCAACCTTCCTAAAATAATGGTTTTTATTGTGGACAAGGAGGCTTTGGGGCCTGTCAAGCCCTTTATATTATGTAAAACATTACTAAAGTATCTCCTAAATACTGATAAATTCATCTTCCTATTTCATTTCCCACTGGTACAACTCAGGTTCAGGCCATCAATACTTCCTGGTTGGATTTCTGCAATAGTCTCCCTGCCTCCAGTCTCACCCACTATGACCTGTTTTCTACCAGGCTATCATAGTCATCTTTCATGAATACAGACGTGATCTCCTCACTGTCTGAAAAAAATCTTTGAGAACATTAGTGTACGAGTAGCCGCTTCCTGGTTCCCAACCCAGATTCACTGACTCTATCTCTGTGAATGGAGCCCAGATACCTGTATAAGCACCCCTAAGGTACTGTGGTAGCTTAGATATTGCTCAGCAAACATTCACTCCCTCCCCCAGACCTCTATAAATATATTTATTTACTTCTTCCCTACATCAATGATACTGGGCTTGGCCATGTGACTTGCTCTGGCCAATGGGATGTGACAAGAGCAGGTATTTAACATGTGCTTAAGTGGTTGGGCCTATGCGTATGGCATCTGCTGTTGCCATGAAAAGATATCTTGCATTTGAAACCTGTTGACTTCCAAAGATTGAGCGATACATAAAGCAGATTTGAACCCAATCCAAGATTTGGAGCCAACCCCACCAAACCCAGTCTAGAATAGCTATATGCCAGCTAGTCCACAGAAATGAGTTTAAGAAATAACACGTTGCTTTGATATTGTAAATCTTTGAGTTTGGGGTTTTTACATAGCATTACTGTGGCGATAGGTGACTGATATACATGTACAGCCAATGTGGGATCTTCAGGACATGTTAAAATCCAAAACTCCTCAACCTCAGACAAGACTTTCTGTACCTGGCCACTCTTATCTCATCCTAGGTTCAAACCCCAGTGATCTAACTGAGCAATGTTTTTTGTATCACCACACCTCTATACACATGGTTATACCTTTCTCCCTGGTCTCTATTTTACTCCATAGCTCCTCTAAAAGTTTTCAGGTACCACTACTCAACATACTGAAAACATTAAGTGCTCGTTTCTCCGCAACTAGAAAACCAGAGAGGAAAGCATTAGTGTACAGGCTCTGAAATCAGCCTTCTTGTGTCTGGATCCCATTTCTACCACTTATCAGCTGAGTGACTTTGGGCAAGTTATTTAGCTTTTTTTTTTTTTGAGACAGAGTTTCACTCTGTTGCCCTGGGTAGAGTGCTATGGTGTCATCATAGCTCATAGCCACCTTGTGATCCTCTTGTCTCAGTCTCCCAAGTAGCTAGGACTACAGGTGCTCTTCACACCACCTGGCTAATTTTTTTCCTATTTTTGGTAAAGATGGGGTCTTGCTCTTGCTCAGGCTGGTCTCCAATCCCTTAGCTCAAGCAATCCACCCGCCTCTGCCTCCCAGAGTATTAGGATTACAGGTGTGAGCCATTGCACCCAGCTTCTTTAACTTCTTTGAACCTGTTTCTTCACTACCTCCTTCACAGTTTTGTAGAGAGGAGAATAAATGAAGTAATATAAAGTGTTCAGCACAAAGACTGGCACATAGTAAAAGGTCAATAATATCTCATCCTCCTCCATGGATCCTTCCCAATTTCTAGCTAAGCCCAGAATAAAGACACAGTCCATGCTGATCATATAATTGTCCTCGCTTCAGACACAAGTTAAATATTTCCCTGTGTCAGATACATAGATATGACTGCTACTGTTGACAAAAGTACCTGTTTCTCTATGAGCTTAATGGTGTCCTCTGAGGTCTTGTCCTTTGACTTCTTCAGCTTATTCATCGCGTTGCTGCGAACCCTCCGTAAAGAGTCTTTGGCCTTGTTGGTGTGCTGTTTGGCCAGCTTCACCAACATTTCTCTGTGCTCCCTGGTTACTCTGATAAAAGACAAAAAAACATTCAACAAAATCATTCTATATGTCAAATCAAAATTTAATATCACTCTATCTACCAGTTCAGTTGATCTCACAGTCCTGACACATGGCCATGGGCATGCTCAGGGTCAAAAAGCATTCCTCATAAGTCAGGCTAGGACAGCCAGTAAGAGTACTGCTTAAAAGTATGAGCCAGGGCATATCAGCCAGCCTGGGGTCCAATTCTGGCCATGCCTCTCATGAGAGGCATAAGTGACTTGCTTTTCTCCAAGTTCCTGTCTGTCTAATGGGAACTGTATCAGCACATAAGTGATGGTAAGAAGATTAAATGAGAGGATGTGCGTAAACCATTTGTTTAGCACTGACCCTGGCACATTTTAAGTACTAAAAAAAGGGAATCAATTATTAGCTATGACTCTACCCCTTTCTCACCCACTAAACAGAACAATGCAAGTGAGTGATGATGGTGCTATAGAAACAATCATCTCTAAATCACTCAAGTATTAATAGCAACCTCCAGAATCCTAACAATTATTATGAAAAAGGTCTTGTCAATCACCTCAAAACTGGCTAAGATACAGTATGAATCCCCAGGTAACATATGAGAAACACTGTACAAGTTAACGTCCAAAAAGTACCCACGAGAGAGTCTAACACATTATGAAGGCCTAATAAACATGAGCTGTCTAACATCCTCACCATTAGCAGCAACGAGCATACCGAGGGCCTACGATAAACTGCTGGGATAGGCACTTGATACATCAGCCCTTACAACAACCATATGAGGCAGTTATTATGGTTTCTATTTTATATTTCATCATCACAACCACCCAGTGAAGTTTACCCTGCCTTCCTTTCTTTATCATCTACAAACTGAGTGGCTACTATGTATCAAAACCAGTATTGGTGTGGGGGGTATCACAATGAACGTGACAGTGATGGGTGTCACCTCTGTCCAGCTCTTAAGGAGCTTAACTAAGGAAAGAGACAAGTAAAGAGACATTCACAGTAGGATACAACAAGAGCTGTAAGAGAAGTGGGGAGGTATGGAGTGCCACAGGAACGCAGGAGCAGCTCAGCTAACTCGCTAGAACTGTGCGAGTTCCAGGAGGGTGCAGGAAGGGAAGACTTTCTTGAGGAAATGACATCTGCGGCTATGGACTGAAGAACCTGAAAAACTGGTTTGACTGACTTTTTCCCTATATCCAGAGAACCTCCAAACCAGTCTGACCATCTTTTCTGATACATACATTCCTATATCTCCTACATTCATGAACGGTGGCTTAATCCTAAGAGCCCAGTAAACTGGTTCACTTACTTACTAGTTGCTGACATTGAGTATTGTTGAAAAGAGATATTCTTAGATAATGGTAAATAACAATAAAAAAACAAAATAATGTAAAATTTGCTGGGGAATTTGGGGATGGGGTTAAATTGGTATGTGTGGGCTGAATCAACAGGAATAAATAAGGTAGTTGTTAGGTCTGCTCACTAGTATTCTGGTTCTTATCCTTCCAGACACATAGTAGGAATGCATTTCCCCACTCCTTCTGAAGTCAAGCTGTATGACTCACTCTGGCCAATGGAATGTGAGCAGAAGTGATGCGTGTCACCTCAGGACAGAAGTTTTAAGAGGCAGATTGCTTTTCCTTCATTGCAATACAAGTTGAGATAGAGCTTCCATCAATCAGCTTGGGTCCCAGTGACTGTACTAAGCAGCACTCATCTTACAGTATGAGCAAGAAATAAACTTCAGAGATTTTACAACTGCTTGTCACTGCAGCACAACCCCTCCTATCATGACTAACACCCAAACTAGGATCTGAAGAACGAGTGCAAGTTGCCAGCACTGGCATGGGGGGGTCGGGGGGGATTTACTTTAGGAATTGGCTGGAGCACAGACAACAAAGAGTGACAAGAAAAGAGGCTTCATGGAAGGTCTTATAAGATCATGAACCCCATTTTACAGATTATGAAAATGAGGCCCAAAGGAGTTTGGTATCTTATCTAAAGTCAAATTCAGTCAAAGCTAGGCTGGCCTGTCTCAAGAGCCAGCTTCATCTCAGATGACAAGATGCCTTCACCCGCTGGGTCCTGAAATGGACATGCTTATACTTCCTAACCCTTAAATCAATGTGGTTCTTGCCAAGTAAGTACAATCCCAAATTCTGGGTACAAGTTCAGTGTAGAATAGTTAAGAAGCAGCTGTTAAAGATTTAGTAGCATCTACCTGATATTTTCTCTGATGTGAAAAAAAAACTGAAAAATTTTCAGAAAGGATAAGCTCTCAATTGAACAGTTGTGTTAAGATTCAGCTACTTGAAGGTATTCTGAAAATAAAAATGACCTCGATTACTTTAAATATGTTACCTCATCGATCCTCATAACCCTTCAAAGTAGAGCTAACACCCCAGTTTCCAAAGAGGAAATTGAGGATCACAGATGCTAAAGGACTTGTCCGTGCCCTGAGTGAGAGAATTGGGATTCAAATCCAGGTCTTGTTGGCCTGATTCCTCCCACTACACTGCGCTGCCTACCCCTTATAATCTATTTCAGATAAATCATGCACTGCTGCCGTTAATTCTGCTTCCAGGCAGAAAGCTTTTCCAAGCAAGTAATATGAAGCTTGGAACTGAAAGGACCAAACCACCATGTCAGGAGTTTAGGGATTTGGATCAGATCTTGTTACTTTTATGGTTTTTAATTCACTGAACAAAAATCATGCTGACATGTTTAGGTCTCTTTTTTGTTCTGCCAAAGCATATGTCAGTATAAGGAAGGAGCAGGAAAATTAAAACTTGATCCACTGACTGAAAAACTTAATCCTGCTGAAATACTAAGAGGGGCAGAAAATGAATCTAAGTCTGTAAGAAACCTCTTAAACTTCTCCAAATAAACCTTATTAAAATAATTCAATCTTCCATTTTGTATGTAATTTGAAATAGGTATCCCACTGTTTAGAAAATCTTGAATGAAAGAAAAAATTTTATCTAACCAACTTTTCTTTTCACAACATTGTTATATTTTAAATAGAGGGAAAAAACATACATTAAAAAATATATAAAATGGAACTCAAAAACTTGTTAAGTATAAAAGGCTATAAAAAATCATTATATATGTAATTTAGCCTTAATAATAGGAATTTTTTACAGGTATTAACTTAAATATGATATTATCATACTATTAACAAGTTTCCACATTTTATATATATAGTGCCCAATTATTACTGACATATCAAAAATATTTCCATTTCAGGATGCAAATACAGAGGCAATAATCAAAGCTATTATAAGGAAATGGAGAGGGAACTGGAGTGAGGAGGGGCAAGAAGCAGAAAGGGATGCTTGGGCACAGCAGGGGCTGAGAGAAAGAAGGGTATACATGTGCTGGTTCAGGGCGTTGAGCTGAAAGGTTATCTAAAATGCAAGATCAAGCCAGGTGTGATGACTCATGCCTATAATCTTAGCACTCTGGGAGGCTAAGGCAGGAGGAGCATTTAAGGCCAGGATATTGAGACCATTCTAAGCAAGAACGAGACCTCACCTCTATAAAAAAGACAGGAAAATTATCCAGGCATGGTGGTGCAAGCCTGTTGTCCTAGCTACTCAGGAGGCTGAGGCAGGAGGACTGCTTGAGCCCAGGAGTTTGAGGTTGCAGTGAGCTATGATGATACCACTGCATTCTAGCCCAGGCAAGACTGTAAGACTCTATCTGGGGGGGGGGGGGGATAATAATAATAAAATAAATAAATAAAATGCAAGATTGAAGCAGTTAGTGTAATTGCAAGACACTGGTTGTTTTTTTGAGACAGAGTCTCACTTTGTCGCCGTTGGTGGAGTGCCATTACATCATAGCTCACAGCAACCTCAGACTTTGGGGCTCAAATGATTCTCTTGCCTCAGCCTCCAGAGTAGCTGGGATTACAGGTGCCTGCCACAACACCCAGCAACTTTTAGAGGTGGGGTCTTGCTCTAGCGCCAGCTGGTATTGAAATTGTGACCTCAGGCAATCCTCCCTCCTCAGCCTCCCAGAGTATTGGGATTATAGGCATGAGCCACTGAGTCAGGCCCTGAAGCACTTTTTTTGAAGTCAGACAGACCAGTTAATTCCCAGATCTATCACTCAAAACTTGACTATCCTAAAAAACAAAACTTGATTATCCTTGGGCAAGGTACTTAATATCTCTAAGCCTCAGTTTCCATAACTCTAAAATGAAGATTAAAAGACACCTTATAGCAGACAGAACAGATATAAAGTGCTAATAAAGAGAGCAGCATATAGTAGCCTTGAATAAATGATAGTGTTTATGAATGTTTTAATCAAACACACTTAATTACTTCCTCATGAAAGAATGAGGGCATGTCTGTTTTAGAAAAGAAACATATTGTCTATTATGGAAATATTTTCATTCCTTTCCAAACCAGTGATTAATACATCTGATCATCTCCACCTCACATTCACAGGGTTCTGTGAATATACACACTAGAGTTTACATTCCAGGCTTCTGAGCTCAGCCAGCCTGTTCCAAGCACCCCCTCCAACTTGATGGCTAAGCCCCTGTACTCTGTGCCAGGTCCACTTTTCCAGAGGCTTAGTCTAGTGGTGGGGACAAACCTGTCAGCCACTACTTATCGAGTATGACTGCTGCTAAGACAGAGGGATGGACCTGCTATGGGAAGAACATACAGAAAGTACAACTCTTCTGCCCTGAGTTCTGGAAACTGCCTTGGAGATGGGTAGTAACTTGTTAGCTACAGAAGATAGGAAAGAAACCATGATTCTCTTTTGAGAAGAAGCATGGTGGGAACTGTAATGGTGGGAGAGCATGAGGTTGAAAAGGTTCTATCAGGGTCAAATATATTCTGTAGCGCTGGAAGTTTCAAATTCTTGTTTAGCCACAAAACCCTAGCTTCAAAGAAAAGCAAGGCTCCATTTATAAAACAGACTTAAACAAAAAAGTACTCCTCCAGTGGATGTAGAGAGGGGTTCTGGAGCATGGGTGG